TGCTCCGCTCCTCCCTTAACTCAGCACCATGGCTGAGAAAAGCCCCCTGAAGCCATGTCCCACTGAGTGGGGTCAGCCCTTGCAGCGGGCCTGCAGCGTTGCAGCAGGCTGAGAGGGGAGGGAGGGAGGGAGGGAGGGATGAGCAGAGCGAAGCAGCGGCTGCTTCAAGCTGGGCTGGGCTCTCCCCTTTCTTTGGATGCCACCTGGTGACCGAAGGCTACAGGGACAGGGCACAGTCCTACCCACCTGATGAGGAGGTCCCGCAGGTAGGCGAACTCACAGTGTGTCGTGTTCTCCACTGGTGGGAAGAGAGAGAAACCCATCAGCATGCACCCGCGGCATGAATGTGGCAACCACTTGGGGTGTGGAGGGCTGAGATGGGGACTTACCCCCAGGGGCTATAGGGTGCAGGACTCAAGAGTCCTCTTTGCTGCTGTAGGCCGGTGATTTACCCAGGTTTCTGCCCCAGCTCAGCATGACCAACTGGCTGGTGAGGTCTGACTGAGCATTCCCAGTCCCTTCCCACCATCTTCCACCAAACGAGGGAGCTCCCAGCAGCATCTCCCACCGTGACCCCCCCTTTGGACCAACGCAAGCTTAAGAGGGCCCCAAACAAGACAGGGAAAGGGACAGGGTGAGCTTTGCAGCGAGCGCCGGGCACGGCCCCACAGAAGTGTTTCACCTATAGCTTCACCACGAGCACCCTGCGACATCCCAGGCACGTCAGTGACTCTGCTGCCCGGGCTGCCGGTGCTGCAGAAGGACGCGATCTCTTGCTGACAAAGGCTACTGCTGTCTGAACAGGGCTTGGAGCAAGCAAGAGTGTTTGCAAGAGGGAAAAATCAAGGGGTGTTGCTCCACCACAATTTGATGGCTCGCAGTTTACCACGCATTCGAATTTAAAGGATCAACTCCCTTTTTTTGATTTTTTCCACCCAAACAGGCTTGAACATAATGCAGAAATGGCAAGACAACAAATAACACTGTTCTGCAAAGGCTGCCCGTGGGCATGGCTGGGTCCCGGGGTCTCCCCATGCTGAAGGCAGACGCCACATGCAGAAGGTGAGTGGTTTAATGAGCCCCATTAAACTCAGAGCTTCCAAGGACAGAGCACAAGAGGGCAGCAGAGCTTTAAAATACGTTGATCTTCCTGGCGTCTTTGTTAAGGCAACCCTCAACACAGATTTCCTATTAAAAAGACTCATAAATGAGAGAAACCCATGAAATGAAGGGGAGGAAGATAAGACGGGTGGCACTGGGGACATGCCAGTTGGCTGTCAGGGGCAGGGAAGTGTGTAGATGTACTGGAGTCAGGAGCCTTCATCTAGCCTTTAAACCATGATTTAAAATGGGGGATAAAAAAGGAAGATGCTGATGGGATGAGGATGGAAGAAGGAAGAGATCCCACAAAGGCACCAGCCAATGCATGGTGGAGGGTGCAGAGACCTACAGATGCTGGGGAAAAGGCTCTAATCTGGGCTCGAGACACAAAGACGTCAGCACTGCACTTGTGTGCCCTCAAATCCAGCCATCATGCATTTAACTGCAACCAGCAGAAGCCAGGCCGCAAGAAACCCAGAAGTGTCCCCTCCGGCACTCAGCAGGCCCCCAAGCTGCACAAAGGCCAGGAACTCGGCGCAGGAGCATTGGCCAAAGTGTTTTCAGTCCCCAAACACCGGGGAAGTGACTTTTTTTGGAGGGGCAGGGAAGCACTACATACACCTTGACTTCTACTGCTGGTTTTGGACCTCATCACCTTCTGTCAGGGCAGGGAGATGGGCTCAAGAGGTAGGGAAACAAGGACAAGGTACCTTCAATGGTGCCCCACTTGGTCTTCCTTCCAAGGATTCTTCTTCCATTAACCTGGTACTCCTGGTCACTGCCCACCACTGCAAACGGGATCATTTCCTGAGGAAAGAGGAAAAAAAAGGTTCCGTTTTCCTCCTGAAAACCGGTCAGGAAACCAAGCTGGCGAGCAAAGTCCTACGTCAAGCTGTTTTCAGGAGAGAGTTTCATGGGATGAGCTGGTCTGTCCCTGATGCTCCTGAGCAGCATTGCCTGCCAGGGACCACAGGCAGCCCAGGAGCCGGGCAGCAGCATCTCTTGCACACGTGCAAAGTCCAAAACCAGTCTAAAACCAGCCCAAAACCAGTCTAGCCCAGCACCTCATTGGCAGGCACCAGCATACAGCCAGGGCAAAGGTATCACGATGCTTCCCTGGGAATCGCCCCCAGCATCTGGCAACCCGTGGCTCAGTCACTTCCTGATCCAAGGTGGTATCTTTGCACTTAGAGTCCCTAGAAGACTTTTTTCTTCCTTGAATTTGTCCATTCCACTTTATTGAGCCACAAACTTGTTAGCTACTTCCTATAGCAAGGAATCGACAGCCACGAAAGCAGAACGGCCTATGGGCAAATTACCTCCGGGTGCCGGGAAGGTTGCTCCCCTAGCCAGGGATGGGCAGACACCGGCACTCCCTGCCCCTGGGGCAGGGCAAGCGGCCACGGGACCTCCCTACCCGCTGGTTGCTGAGGGCACCTTTGAGGAACGGGACTGGGGGAAGGAGCAGCGACATGGACGGGAGAGGACACCTTCCCCAGGTACTTTCCTCACCCTCTTTCTGCCCCTGCTCTGAGCTCTGGCAGGATCCTCCTGGGCAGACCCCCTGGACAGGGGCACAGCAGCTTTGGAAAGAAAATAGAGGCACTTTGCAAGAGACCCCCCCCAGGACATCACCAGCACCCAGAGCTGCAGGACCCATCCAACCTGCAACGCCACGCACTAACCCTGAATTTCTCATTCACTAGCCGATCTTCAGAGTCTTCATCAAACTCCTTCTGAGGATACACGTCGATCCCATTGGCAAGAAGATCGGCCATTATCTAGGAGAGAAGAGCAGAGAAACACATGACGGAGACACGGGCAGAGGAGCTGCACTCCCACCACGGCGGCAGCTCCCAGCCGACCCAAGAGGCTCTCATGAGCAATGCCCAGCAGCAACATCTTCCCTCTCCATCCTAAACACTGCCCACCTTCAGGAGAGAGACCTGTGTTTAACTGCTACACACCTATCAAGCGCTTGCCATGGAATCTCTGCAAGAACCTGGTGCTAAGACACGGTTCAGGCTGAGTGAGATGAAGTTATATGAGCTGGGCGTTGCTTTGGGGTTGAAAAAGACAATAAGACAATACAAGCTGCACCAAGCAATGGGGAATGTAGCGGCCAGGCACATAACCCAAAGTTAAAGAGTTGCTTTCTGGTGTCTGCTTATGCTCCTTGGAAAAGGAGTACAGCAGTGTCTGATCCGAGGGGACAGGGACACAGACAGCTTGGAAAAGCGGCCTCTAAGGATATTGCCTCTGTGCAAGGGGAAGAGATGCTGAAATCTGATTCCTGGGTGGAGGCTCAGCTCACGGGGAGCATGGAGGATCAGCCTGTTCCAACAAAGCTGCAAACCCAAACCCAGCCTGCGACCCAAACCCAGCCTGCGCGCCCGCTCCCATCACTTCCTATGGCGATAAACTCCTCCGCGTCAGCCCTACGCTGCAGGCTGGCAAAGGAAGCGGACCCAGCCCAGAGAAACCCCCCAGCCAGCCTCCCACCCCCCAGCCAAACCCCCACACTATTTTTAGGGGAACAACCCAACAAAGCCAACTCCCCAGGGCATCGGAGCCCATTCCACTAATTCAGTGCAGCGCTGGCATCAACCTAGGTAGCCTGCAGCCAGACTGGTGCTTCACCATCACCTACCCACCCCGATCCAAACCCAAAAAACCTATCGCCTCTCCGAACCAGCTACACCCCCAGATGCAGATGGGGCTCTGCTTTTTGGAAGCACGCACACAGGCGTGCTGGAGCAAAGGGAAAGGGTCCCAGCCTGTGCCCACCTGGACTGATTGCCCGTCCTCTCTTTGCACCAGCAGACCTGGAGCCGTGAGCGCGAGCCCCTTGCAGAAGGGGCATTGCAAACACACCACGTGGCTACGTGTTCTCCCTCCATCTGGAAGGATTTTGGGGGTCTGGTTACAATCAGGAATGTAATTAGAGATAGGGCGAGCTCATCCTGCGCTGAGCCGGTGCAGAGTGGGCGAGCCAGGTGGTCTCCCCATGGTCTTTCATTACACAAGGATGGTATTAGCAGCCGAGAGCGCCCAGGTGACATTTTAGGCCCCAGACTGACTTTGTAGTCCCAGAGCCAGCCAGCCACCCCCAGACACTCAGATGCGTGCACTTGTAACCTCTGAACGGAGCCAGCAGTCTGCAAAAGCCACTGCAGAGAGCAGATGTGGCACCGCGGACTCACACCCCCATCCTCCCACACCAGCTCCTCACAGATCTCCGTGCAAACAGGCTGACACACTGATCAAGCCCAGCCTGGATTACCTCTTGGCTCCATTTCCAGCCATCCTCTAGCTCACTGCGAAGGGAACTGCTTGCAGACTTTGGATTCAGTCCCCAAAACCAGATTGGATATTTCAGTGCCTGATCCTGCTCATCAAGAAGTGGGAAGACACTGGTGCGGGAAGGGCTGGCTGATGCTTTTCTGCACAGAGGCACTGAACAAACCCCTGGCCAATGTGCCATCCTCTCCATAACCAGTGGACGTGGCCCCTAAAACTGTCCTTTCCCTTCACTTCACTTCCCTGCAGTTCAGACTCACGGACCAACGAGCTTGGTGGCTTGCTTACTTCTGCAGGGAATGCTGAGGCCATCACGCCTGCAGCCACATCCATCAGCTACCCGAATGGATTTATAGCACCTTACCGAACCCCAAAGAGGGGCATCTCCACCTCTTGGCAGCACCAGGCGTGCACGGAGGAAAGCCCATGCCTTGCTGTGGATCCAGACAGCCTCCTCGGCTCCCCACCACCAGCTCCCAACCAAGGCGATCAAGGGAATTTCATGCCTTGCTTCCCCCATAAATCTTGCCCAGCTGAGCTCAGCAAACCCACACGTTTTTTTTCCTGGTTCCTGTATCAGTGTATGGTGCTGCTCAGGAAGGGTTTTTCAGCCTCTATGTGCAGCACCATCAACCTCCCAAAATAACAAAACCCAGCCTGAAAATAACAACAACAACAACAATAACAAAGGAGGCAGGAGAAACAGGCCCCAAGACTTAGAGCTCGAAACTTATCCTGCACTGACAAAGATCCAAGAGAAACACAAGGAACTGCTTGGAGCACAGGCCTTTCCTCGGCCACGTGGGATCGCTCAGAGCTGCAGCCGGAGGAATGCGCTGGGCTCCCGGCCAGGTGCTCGCCTTCCCAGCCCTGCCGGGGGAAGGCTGGGGGAGCCAGGGAAGGGGGAAAGGGGCAGGAGGGGATGGGGAACAAGAGATGGGAGCCCAGATAAGAGCCGCCAGCCCCTTACCCTTTGTTTGAAGTAGTCCCTCTCCTCCAGCGTTAACGTGTCGGCTTTTGCAATCACGGGGACGATGTTGACCACTTTGCTCAGGCGTTTCATGAACTCGATGTCTAGCGGTCGGAGCCTGAAAAATGCAGCAGAAAACAGGGGATTCGCGCACCGGTAGCGAGGTAGGGGGCTGCTGCAATCCCCCAGCAGAGGGGGACCTTCAAAGACTAGACACAGAGGGGGAATCGCTTCCTTTGAGATAGGACAAATAAAGACATTTTCTGAAAAGCACAACAGCACACGTCCATCTCAGAGGCGGTTGCAGACAAACACTTAAAACATCTCCCTTTCAAAGCACCCCGCTATTGCCTGCGAACCCTCGCAAAGCCCCGTGAAGTGGGAGAGGGCTTTTCTCTCTGCACGGATGCTTGGCCACAGAGCACTGCAGAAACTTGCCCAAAGCAACACGCGTCCTTGGCGAAGCCGGGATGAAAGCACGGGCGATGCTGGCTGCGGGGCCATCCCACCCACGATGTACAAATCAAGCTGGGGAGAGACCACGGTGTGAAACCTCCTCCAGCCCTATCCAAGCTGTCACCCACTGTCACCCACCAGCCAAGGACAGCATGACGTGGAAATGGCCACAGGTGACTATTCCTGCTCACACTCCCTCCTGCGCTGAGCACCAGCCCGCTGTCGTGCACGAGCAAGGATTGCATCTCGCATCCATCGGTTGGGATTAAAAAAGGCTCTGCTAATTCTCCAGGGGTTCACACAACACAGAAGAGATGCTGCTTGTTCCAGAGGGCAAAAATGTCAGAAAATCTTTACAACGAAAGTCTCAGCAGAGGAAAGCTGCACAGATTGCATAACCCGCGCTGAGCACCAGCCCGCTGTCGTGAACGAGCAAGGATTGCATCTCGCATCCATCGGTTGGGATTAAAAAAGGCTCTGCTAATTCTCCAGGGGTTCACACAACACAGAAGAGATGCTGCTTGTTCCAGAGGGCAAAAATGTCAGAAAATCTTTACAACGAAAGTCTCAGCAGAGGAAAGCTGCACAGATTGCATAACCCCAATGATCAACCCCTCGGGAAATCCCTCCCTGCTAAACATTCCCGCTGACAGCACGGACGCGACCTCCGGTGCCACGCTGCTCCACGTCCAAGGGCTGCAGTCCAGCTGCAGACAGCAATGAGGGCGCCTGGCCATGACCCTCCCTCGCTCCTCAGTCCTCCCTGAAGGTGTTTTTACTGCTGGGGATTCCCAAGCCAGCTAGAGGAAAGCCCTCCTTGGGACGCCTCCACTTGCCGCAGATCCCCCTCGGTAGCTCTGGAGGTGATGGGGACACACGCCCATGCACGACAGTTTAGCAGATGTTGCCTTGAAAAAGGAAACCTGGAGGTCCCAGGGGAGACCAGGGTACAGGAACACCTTTGGGGTGCTCATGCATTAAGGAGCCTGTTTGAAACGAGCCCTCGCTGAAAGCACACAGGGAAGGGGCAGGAAGGTCAAAGCCAGAGCCCCAGAAGCAAAGGGACACCTCTGCCGCTCGTACCTCCTCATGACCTCCGGTGGTGGCATGTGCCAGCAGGACAGGAGCCAACTCATCTTTGGTGAAACTGGGGCAGAGAGAGGCAAAGTCACCTTTCAGAGGAGCCGTAGGCTTCAGTGGCAGAGCTGGGGCCAAGAATGAGACCTCCCAAAGGGCAGACCAGCCCCGTGCCACAAACCAGAGGCCCATGGCAACAGGGAAGAAACCAAAATAAATGGGACGGTGACTTAAAATGCCCAGGTGCGAGCAGGCACCCAGCAGGAGCCCTGCATGGGGGAACACGGAGCAGAGCAGAGCGCTCAGGGAGAACATGGCCAAGAGAACACCTACTGCCAACATGCTCAAGCCAAACTCCACCATGGTCTTCTCGGGCCCTAGAAAGGGCTCAGAGACCCCTGCAGACCGAGCACGGCTCCTGCAGAGCCAGCAAGAGTCACACGAGTGCAAAAGGGAAGGGGTTGATCCTGCTCCTCGGCAGTCACTAGGCAGTCACCATCCCGCGAGGCCATCGCTGCCCAGCTCCAGTGCCAAGGGAGGGACATCCAGCCCTGGAGAGACCCACTCAGCTCCGGCTGATCCGAAAAGGGCAGCTCGAGGCTGCTCCAGAGCAGCCAGCACTGGTGACCCAGCTGAGCCCTTCCCTGGCCAAACCCACTCCTCTCCCAGGGATCAGGCTGGACCGTGCCAGGTGGACCTTCTCCCCGCACGCTAACGGCACGCGTAGCCCAGAGCACGTCGTTAGCGTGCGGACAAATGAGTTCCTAACACAAACTCAGGAGTCACAGATCACCCTGGGCCCCAGGAAAGAAAGAGTTTGGCTATTAAAAAAAAAGAAAAGAAAAAAACACAAGGAAACCCCCACGGACACATCTAAGCAGACTTGCTGCTGGCAAACATTGTTTGGAGCTCTGCATAATGTATTTCCCAGACCTCCAAGGAAGTAATGCAGTTATGCTCCTTTCCCAGCAGACTTCTTTCCCCTCCTCTCTCTTTGCTATTTTTCAAACAGTTTTTCCCCTCTAAAAGCCTCTTCCCTACTGAGACTGTGTTCCTGCCTCTTTCATCAGCTTTTCTTTTAGAGTGAAGACCAGGATGCATATGTAGCCGATGCAGATGAATTCACAATCAGCCAGACATTTGAGTTTCAGCTCGACTGACACATTACTGGGCCCTCACCAATACCCGGAGGATGCCGGCAGTGAGCCTGAGAGCAGGAGGCAGAGCCAGAGCCAGCCCACACCCCTGCCCATGTCCACCAGCATCCACGCAGGCGCAGTGACCGTGTCCCACACTGGTCTGCATCCAAAGCCAGAAGAGCCCAAGGCACCTTTTACATGACTCTGCTCCAATGGGCTTCTGCAAGTGCCTCATCCATGGAGGTCACCTCCCATGGGCACCTCCCTGCTCCATCCTGGAGAACAGGAGGGGAACCAAGGGACTCCCCAGAAAGGCAAACTGTATGTTTTTAGGGTATTTTGCAAGTTTCTAGATATTCTACCAATTCCCGCTAGGTAGCCCCAAAAAACCTTGAGTATTTAAAAGAAAGTGATTCTTTTCACTAAGAACAAGCCCTGTCGCTAGGTGTCACGTTCAGGTGAAGACACCAAAGGAGAATAAATGGCTTAAGGTGATCACGAGTGCAAAGAGCCTGATTTGCACTAATAGCCTAGTACAGACCCAGGCAGACATGGCCAAGGTCACAATGGGGCAAGCCCAGACCTAATTCCTCTTAACTCCTGCTGCGAGGCACAGCCCAGGACAGCAGGGACTTCTACTGGTATCTGCGGGGACCAGTTTTGGTGTTTAACCCCCACCATCCCGTGACAAGCCACAGGCACAGCAGCACTGCCCTCCACCGGGTGTTTGAACTCGGTTCACCTCCACAAAGCATCGATGCCAGAACCTGGCGAGGATTAGCAGTGAAACCCTTAGATATACAAATGCACAAAACAGCAAGAGAAAGCGAGTTATTTCATTTTGGGTGCGCGCAATCTGCTCCAAGCAGATCACGAAAGAGAAGGTAGAGCTCAAGAAGAAAAAGCATCTGTTTTCTTCCCCTTCCCCAAATGGTCCCCGATATTATTAACTTGCAACTAGACACATACACACTTTGGGCTTTGCTGGGAGGGGGTGGAGGAGCTCTAAGGGAAGTGCATGGGCTGGAGCAGGAGCTGCCCGAAAGGCTCCAGCCCACCCCAGCCGGTGCTGGTTGCTCCCCCATCCCCTCTTGCTATGGGGCTGGGGAAAGCAGAGCAGCTGGGTACACGTTATCATGGCTGGGCACACGTTATGGTGGCTGGACACACGTTATTTCTGCATTGCCCACAGCCAGCGTGCACGAACAGGATCTAAGCAGAGGCTCATTCCTGCTGGTTCCCTTGAAATGCCTTTATAGGAATCAAAATTCACGGCGAGCTGCAAAGTTATTTCCTTTTGGTTGTGCCCCAGATCAAACTAGCAGCAAGAATTTGAGCCGTGCATTAAGCAAACACCAGCGAGCACCCAGCAGCCGCCCAGCCCCTTCACCAGGACCCGCCAGCCTGCTTAAGGGACCCGGCGGGCACCCGAGAAGTGCAGCTAGCGGGGAAAGCGGCAGTGGGTGTCAGCCCGTCAGCCAACAGCTCTGGTACACACATAAAAGGGGCTGCCGAGGCCGGGGTGGTGTTTCAGAGTCCCTTTTCAGAGCCGAACGGTGCTTCACAGGGGTCAGAGCGGAGATATTTATTGGGTGGCAAAGAGCTGGCCTTGCGCAGCTGCAGCCAAAAGCCCCTGCCAGCACGCTACTTAGCCTTCGCAAACATGGTTTTACGGGAGTGTTACAAGAAGGACAGGGGGTGTGCGAACTAGATAGGTTGCAAAGCCTGCTCCGAATTCCCTGCAAAGGGAGGCAGCAGCGGAAACTTCTCCGCTGATTAACCCTTGAGCTGCCCAGATGGGAGGGCCAGACTGAAACGGAGCTGAGCAACCCTCCACTCCAGCTTCTGAATCTGTGCACTTGGCTAACTTTGCTTTTTTCCCCCCTCTCCTTCCCTTTTTATTTAAGAAAAAAAGCAAGCTCTCACCCAATGACCTGGCAGGCTTCGCCCTGGCTGCCTGCAGTGGCCACGTGCCAGGGCAGGGATGCTGAGTCCCGTGCTGTGCCTGACCATGCGAGCGGGGAAGGACAGACAGACACGAGTCACCGCCGCTTTGGTTGCGTCACATGGTGAGGGCAGCAATTCCCCAAAGGCAACGCGAACAAGCCCCGTGCAATCAGTATCCCGGGACTGATGGCACCAAGCATCCCGGGACGGCAAGCGGCACGGGAAGCACATGGATGGTGCCATGCGGTAACAGTGGGGTCCTCCACAGCTGGCTGTGGTTGTCCCTAGGGCAGGTCCCTGCAGCACTATGAGCCACTGCCCTTCCCAGCCGTGCTCCCCATTGCCTCCCAGTGAAGCCAGAAGCACCAAAGCAAGGACCTGGATTCCCTTCCCATACCCTTCCACGTGGGACCACGGACCACCTGCCTCAGCAGAGGCACAAACCTGCACTCAACCTTGCGCAACAACCCCATGACACGGCCTCCCAAACCCTTGTCCTCCAAAATGAGTGTGACCCTCTGCTACCAGCACTGCCGCAGCAGCTCCACCCCGCAGGAGAGGTGGCCATGCCATCCATTCGTGTCCATGGACCACGGGAAGCACTGGGGGAAGCCTGTCCGTGATGATGAGAAATGTAATTTGGGCTTCACAAGGGAGCAGAAAGGAAACCCAACGCGTGCTCAAGCTCTCGGAGAAGCAAAATTTCCCACTGACTTCTCCCTCCCGGTGGGGTTTGTCCCCCTTCATTCATTCCTTGGCTTATCTCTGTCCTGTGGCAGGAGGGGACGTGTGAGCCGGAGGCCGGCTCTGACACCGGGGCAGGAAAGCGCAGCCCCCTGAGCCGCAGCCGGGGAGCGAGCGCCAGCCCCAGCCGGGCTATCAGGCTACCGGGAAGGAGGATCAGCGCAGGGCTCAGCAACAATGGCCTCCAACCGCTGGGCTCGCTCGGATATTGGAAACACATGTTCGTTGGAGAGAAAGAAAAAAAGCAGCTGAAGTTCCACGCAATTGCTGTTAGCCGGCGGGTGAGAGAAACCAGAGCGCACGGCTGGAGAGGCTCCGGTGGGGGACACGGGGACGGGGCTCCATGCCACCGCCTGCGCGGCCCAGGGAGGGCAGCCACCACCCCCCAAAATCTGCAACCCCCGTGCGGGTGCGGTATCCACGGGATCTAAGCATCGGACGTGCTTTTAAGGGTTAAACACCCAAAGCAATGAGAAAAAGCTCAAGCATAGCTAATACTGCAACACCCCGACCTGCCAAGGCAGGGTCTGCAGATCGGAGCTGAGATAAGCAGGACCAACACGCTAGACTGTCCTAAAAATGTCATCTCCCTTTGAAATGTTTTCTGCTTTATCGTATTAAACCATAAACGTTTCGTCGGCCCCTCAGCTCCCAATCGACAGCCGGTTACACAAGAAGAGCATAACTGGCCCATGCAGTCATTTTATTCCAGTGAAGGATGCATTTTTGGTCTACCCACTGACAGAAGCAAAACAAAGTCTTTTCTATTGGAATAAATCTCTACAAGGGGAAGAGGAAAAAGCTGACATTAATACAGTGCTGGCGGCTTAAGTTTACTTTTGAAAACAGACCCAAAAAAATCCCCACGCAGACAGAGCCAGAAGTAGAAGAAATTGACACAAATCAAAAGGAAACTTAGGTCTCGTTTTATGTTGTGATACTTTAAGTCACATTTTTCAAGACACTTTAAGTGCCCCAGATTTTCACTGTGGGCTATGTGCCTAGGAGGAAAAAAAAAAAAAAGAAAAAAAATAGAGCGAGATCTGGGCCTTTGATGCTGTCACTTGAGAAGTGCCAGAGCCAGGAGAGCTCTGCGCTGGATAAACTGCATCCCACTTGCAGACTAGTCAAACAACCTACAAAATACCCTTAAAGGGTGAGGGTGTTCGCTCCCTCGGTAGCACGAGGAAAACCGGCTTCTCCCCTTACAAAGGCACAGCAAAAAAAAAATAATGTTCTGTTTGCAAAGGCAGCCAATTTGAGAGCTCAGCGATTGGTGTCCATCCTCGGTCGAGCAAGCAAGGTGACCAAAGCAAAGCAAGCAGCTAACTGGTGCTCAGGGAGGCTTTGATGGCCCCTCAGAAGAGGAAACGCCACGTATCTCTGGGGTACAGCAGCTCTGCTGTGTTATTGCGAGGGCTCCAGATGCTACAAGCCCTAGGAAGGACAGCTTCACGCTGTCCTCAAGCTCCTCAAGTCCCCAGGAAACACGGGGGGATCCCAAGGATGACCCTGACGGCTGAGCTGCCCGAGACCAAACGCAGGAGAGGGAAGCCCCAAGGATCTGAGCGAGGACGGCAGGGTACGTACGAGTGGCCAGTGGCTGGGATGAAGTATATACAGCAGTGCACCCGCGTGTCGGGGATCCGCTTCTTCCGGTTAATGTTGATTTCCTCCTGCAGGTACTTCTCGTATTGGTCGTTGATGAACTTCATGATGGGCTGCCAGCTGCAGAGAGAGAGGAACACGGGGCAATGGGTTTGTGTGAGGGATCTGGACCACCCTGAACCTCCCACCTGGCCTGACTGTGTGAAGAAGAGCCCGCCGAGCCGGGGATGCACAGCATCTTACAGAATCCCATAAAACAAACCAATCCAAAACACACTCAAACACCAAGCTGCTGAGCAGGGCAGTCCCTCAGCTCTTCGCACCCCGTTGTGGCACAGCAGCAAGAGCAGCATCAAACCCCACAAAGCCCAGCCCAGCTCACGGTGAGGAGAAGGCACCTCCCACCGGCTGGCCAGCCCAGCCCTGCCCCGGCCCGGGGGGGCCGTCCCACACAGCCAGCCACTGTCCCAGGGACTCCTGGCAGAGTTCAGCCTTCAGAGCCACATGAGCGAGGTCCAGGGACCAGCCATGCTGGCACACAGCTGCTCCCGGACGCGAACAAAGGTTGTCTCATGCCCGGAACAGCAGGATGTTTGTGAGCTCTCGCAGGGTCCAGGGTCAGCCCCGGGGAGCATGGCACTGCGCTGCCACCCACAACAACCCTCTCCTCTGCTCCCCACGCAGCATGGGTGGCAGGGGACCAGGCTACGGCCGTCGGCACCAGCTCTGGGTCAGGATGCCCCGGGGCTCGGCTGCCTTCCCTCTGCACCGGTCCCCACGTCAGCGCAGCCAACTCACCAATTCTCGTTGTTGATGTGGTCTCCAAAGCCCGGGGTGTCGATGACCGTCAGCTTCATGCGAACCCCCTTCTCTTCAATCTCTGAAACGGAAAGGAAAGCTGGTGCGCGAGGCAAGCGTTGAAGGGTGCTCTGGCCAAGCCCACCCTCCCAAAATCAGCTGGAGGGCTGGAGCTTGCTCCCAGGGAAGAAACACACCTTCACAGCTTCTAACAGGCACAAATCATCCCTCCAAAGGGATGCAGCAGCACCACATCTGCCCTGAAATGCCACCCCCCATGGCCACCTCACTTGTTCCCTTCCATCACAATTAAGTCAATGCTGGTGGATAAAGAAAAAATAGATGTTTTCTCAGCCCTGCAAGCATCTCTGGATGGTAAAAGCCCCTTCAGAGAGATGAGAGTGGAAGTTTAGTGGAGGTCCACAACTCCCGCAAGCCCCCAGAGACACAAGGCAGAGCAGGACCAAAAGCCAAAGCACCAGGTGGGATCTGCAGAGCCTCACCGTGAGTGATGGATTTGATTTCAATGGTCTTGGGGATCCGCTCTTCAGAAGTCGGCTGCACAGATTTCCGGCTGATTTTGGATTTGAAGAGGGTGTTGATTAACGTGGATTTCCCCAAGCCGCTCTGACCTGGAAATGGAGGTCCAAACTCCCGCAAGCCCCCAGAGACACAAGGCAGAGCAGGACCAAAAGCCAAAGCACCAGGTGGGATCTGCAGAGCCTCACCGTGAGTGATGGATTTGATTTCAATGGTCTTGGGGATCCGCTCTTCAGAAGTCGGCTGCACAGATTTCCGGCTGATTTTGGATTTGAAGAGGGTGTTGATTAACGTGGATTTCCCCAAGCCGCTCTGACCTGGAAAAGAGCAGGATAAACCACAGTCAGCACTCACTCGTTTCCGGGCTATTTTTTCAGGGGCCAGAGGATGGGGACACTGATGGACTCAGCCTGCACTGGATCTGCAGGAGGGAGGTAAGAGGTGCAGCGGCTCCCCTGCAGCCTCCCCAGCTCAAGAAGCTCGAGTCCACCCTGGGCAGGAGGATGCTGCAGGCAGCAAGCACCTTCCCTAGCTCCAAAGCAGCCGGCTTGGTGGGAGAGAGCAGGGCAAGAGCCAGTTCCTTGCATCCAGCTGAAATCATAGCAACCCTGAGGACAGGCAGACACCGTCGGGGATGTTTTAAGGGCTGCGGTGACACTCAGCAGCACGGGGACCAGGGGACCCCAGGAAGGAGCACCCCAACACATCTGTGCCTTTACCCTCCTGCAGCCTCCCCTGTCCAGCTCCACAGGGAAGACTTAGGAGCAACTTGGCAAGCCCTTAGCTGGACAGGATTAACAGCAGCAACAGCCTTCCAAACCCCAGCCCTGCAGCATCCACTGCTGCTTCCCAGCCGGACTTGCTTTTGCAGTCGGACCAGCTGCAAGGACCCTTTCAGGCAGGTCTAGGCCAGGAGCTCATCTGAGTCCCACAAACAACGTCCCAGGAAGCACATCAGATTCCACAACTTCAGAAAAAACAGCTTTTACAGAGAAGCATTTTTGTGCTTTATATCCCAGAGCTGAGGTCAATCCATGCAGAAAAGACACCAGCAGCTCTCGACTCTCCAGTGCAGTTGTCCCACGAGCTCAAAGAAAACAGAGAAACTCCTCAAAACGCAGGGAGCAGTCACTTGGCTTCAGAGCAGATGTCCCATGCCCCCTGCGATCACTGCAGAGCTCCTGCACACACTGCGGGGGCCCCTTTGGCCCCGTTCTGCCAAGCCACGTTGCAGCCAGCTATCGCGGCACCGCCGCCGGCATGTCCCTGGCACCACGGAGTATCTCTAAGCATGAAGCCAACAAGGATTTCACCTACATCCTCCAGGGCCCTGAAACATCCAGGCTGCCAAAGGCACCCAATGCTAAGCCAACGGTAGGGTCAGCCGGCACATCGGCACTGGGCATCACCTCCTGGCCAGCCCGCTCCCTGCTCCCTGCTCAAACAGCAATTTAGAGCAGAGTTTGCAATGCTACCGATGGCACGCTGCAATCCAGTACAGCAAAACCCTGTTCACCAGCCACTATCACAGCTGGGTTGCAAAAGAAACACATGGACCAGGCTGGGGTCTGGTGCTCCTGATCCTCTGCTGCCTGAAAACGCACAGGGCCAAGTGCAAACAGGTCTGGAGCTGCGAATGCAGAGAGCCAAAGTGAAGCTCATCATTAAACGGAGCGTGTGGGGAGAGGGAGAAAGCGGGGCGACACACTGCTAGTGCTAGAGCTCCTGGTAGTCGGTCTCTGCATTCGTGCCTGTCCAAGCCGCTGGAGCCGGACTGCCTGGAAAGGGACCAGAGGTGAGAGACGCCGGCAGCCATGGATGCGATGTGCCTCTCTGAATCATGGCTGCAGGCTGACCTTGCCGAGTGATGGACGCGGCTGCACCCCGCAGACCCGATGGCTGAGTGCAGGGCAGACCCGCTCCCACCTCCCCTGGTTTGCAGCCCAGCACCTTTCCCTGAGCTGAAATCAGGCAGGGAAAGAGCGGCTGAGCCCCACTGTGCCTGGCCAGCTCTCCTCTCCTTCCAGCTGCTCTACACCAAAAACTGAAGACAAAAGACGTGCTTTGGGGCTTTTTTTAAGCACAGACCTTTTTTCTCATCTCCACAGCCTTAGACAACACGCGGCTAAGCTGACCTCAGCCTGAAGCCTCCTCTCAGAGCTTTGGTTAGGCTGGCGAAACCCTTTTGAATAGGGACCCTGGTACACAGGGTACAGGATTTTCAAAAGGCCCCATCACAAGGACACGGTGTAGGTAGAGCGATCCCATGCCAGCAGTGGTGCTCAATTCCCACCTCCCGTCCAGAAGTCACCTCCCTCCTTGCATCTCCCACCTGTGAAACAGGGATTGCAATGATTTCAATGCAAGGACTCGCAGCTTAAGACCGGATGGGAATAAAGGAGCTAAACTAATCCCTAGAAGCTCGACCATCCCCTGGAGAAATGCAGCAGGATGAGGGCTGGCTGCTGCCTCCCAGTGTCAGCAGAGCATCCCCTCCCCGAGGTGCTGCTCCTCCCGCATCCCTCCCTGTGTCTTCTGGGAGGGTCAGAGCTCGACTTGTTTATGCTGCCACGAATTCCCCAGCCTGTAAACAGTCAGCCCAGAGCCTGCCAAGGGAAGAACAATGTTTTCCAGCCGCGCTGCAGTACGGGCTTTCATACCACACACAGCGCTGCCAAGGCAAAGCCGGGCCCTTTCCTGAACATCCCTCTGCATCTGCAAAGCAGAAAGCCGAGGCGCTGCTGCAGCACAGCCTGCTCATGGAGGGACGGGTGCCTCTTCTGGCAGGGAAATGGGGGCTCAGCTCAAGCAATCTCGCTTACAGACTCTCAGGATCAATGCTGCAATCCCTCCGTCCTGGGCATACTGTTCCACTGGCAGCAAAGAGCTGGTTTTGTTAAAAACCCTTGCAAGAACCTGCAGCAACCAGGTTTGCAGCGATCTACCAGCCTGGGGAGCCCTCCCCATAGACCAATTTGTGTATGAAAATATCAAAATGAGAAAGGCAGAGCATCAGCAGAGCTCACTGGGAAGCTACAGCACACTAATATCTTGTACAGAATTAGCAAACTCTGGATCAGGCCCTCCCGTAACCCCAGAAGCCCCCCAAGGCCGTGGGGGCTCCTACCCCATGGGCATCCCTGCACAAACCCCCAGCCCTACACAACTCCTTGCAGGAGGAAGCGGGCTGGCGAGACCACACCACCATGCCAGCTCCCCTGGGAGATTCAGGCAGGGAGAGCTGCTGCCCGCACAGCCCGGCCCTGGGGAGCACAGCCCAGCTCACACAAGGGGCTCCACAGGACCAGGCCAGACACCGATAGCTGGAAGAATGCAGAAAAGGCTCATTTCTTTTCCCTTTTCCCCCTCGCACAGCCTCCCATGGTGCCTGCCCAGCCCTTCAGTATACCCAGCATTTTGCTGGCGAGTGGCTGGTGCAGTCCCTGGCACCGGGAGCCCAGGGGCTGCAGGAGCACAGTCCCCTACAGCAGAAGCTGCAGCCAGAGCAGTGGCGATACAGCCAGTGGCCTCTAGCTGAAATAAAGCTCCTTCATCCCATCCACCCTGCAGCCTCGGAAAGCTAATGAACAGGAGCTTGCAGGCAGTGGGATCTGGGGATATAACTTCCAGCCCGCCCTCCCTGCAGGTGGACACCCTCTGGGACACTCTTATTCCCCCCGTGCCACACTGCAGGTCCCCAAAGGAGTCACCGGTAGCAGAAACTGTTCAAACCGAACAACCACGCCATGCAAACCCTCTTGCTGCTCTTGATTCCCACCAGTAAATCACACGAGGCATTTCTTCCCTAGAACTTGTAGCGCGGTTGCATCTGCTGGCTGAGCTGCTCAGCACAATCTCTTAAATACAAGAAAACTCACAAGCAGGAATTTTAGCTAAATTGCTGGAAATACCAGCAAAGATCAAGGCTCTGGTATACCAGTAGCAGTGCAACCCTTTGAGCTCTAACATGCTCTCTGACTGCTCAAACCAGCGCAGGGCTCCCAGGAGAGCAGGCAAGGGAGCTCTCTGCAAGGCTTCGGTGAGTCCCGACCCCCCTCGGGGTGTTCCCCTCGGGGACGTGCCTATGGGTAACACATCCCAAGGCGCGGGAAGATGCGTGAGACCATGGGCCACGTCACATCGCCAGCTTTAACGACAGCTGAATTCAAGCCAGCTCCTCGGGAGCGAGGTTTGCTGACTCCTAAGGCAAAGACCCCAATGCTGAACCCGAGCTGCTGCTCCTGAGGAGGCTCCAGAGAGGACAAATGTCATCACAGAAGAACAAAAACAACTCGCCGAGCACGTTGCGGGCAGCTGGCGCAGGGGGAGAACTCACCCACAACCATGATGTTGAACTCAAACCCCTGCTTCATGGCTTTCCGTCTCATCTGCTCGAGGATGGCGTCTATCCCCACGTAGCCAAAGTCCGCAGCCGGTTTCTCCAGCCGCGTCGGCGCCGGCTGCTTGGGGCCGGCATCCCGTGGAACGTCCGTCATGCTGGGTGCGTGGCTGGGAACTGCCTCTGGACCTGCGGAGGCAAAGAGAGGGTGGTCAGGGGTGGCAGGCAGTGCCGAGCACACCGGGATGCTGCTCCTGGCAGGGAATGAAAGGAGCTGCCTGTTGCATCCGAAGCGGGAATAAAGCACATGGGGGGATTCAGGGCACTGGGAGGCTAAAAGGGAGGAGGCACACGGGATCTTCCTTCACCTGTAATTACATTAAATTTGGGATTCCCCTTCTTAACTTACTGGATTCACCTTGATCCCTGCCCACATCACCAAGCCTGCCGCAGCAAAGGGATGCTGCTACGGAGGGAGCAGGCACACCAGGTCCCACGAGCAGCCAATCTGCCGCCATGGAGCAGGACCCAGCGCTGAGAAAAGTCCTCGGCACAAGTCCAGGAGTTTATTTAGTGAGTGACGAAGGCTTTTAGCAACACGGCCCTGTGCCCAGGCGCTGCCGTTAAAGGCTTGCAGACCTACACAGCCTGCCCGCTCCTCTGTACCGCTGTAATTACAGCGCTATGCAGATTGCTGGTGGGAATGCCTCGTGGCCACGTTTCGGGGAAATGGATGGCTTTGCAGACACAGAAGAGTCCTCGACATCTACTGACACGTGCCCTCCTCAAGCTCCAGCTGACGCAGGGCAGAGGCTGGTGGCCTCAGCTTGCTTCTCGCTGAAAAACCAAAAACCAACGCATCTGCATCAAAACGGGTCGTGCCAGACAACACCCACGCAGTCACGAAGCTTTCACAATCCTGCTCTAATTCTGCCGATATCCGACCAAGGAACCCAAACCCTTCGACTTCCCGCAGAGACAGGGCGCTCACCTCCCTTGCAAGACAGCTCCAGGTTAGCAAAGCTCTTCAGGAGAAGCAAACATACACCTACTGCCTCATTTAACACCTTCATAACAAAAATCGGGAACCACCTACTCCCCCAGGCACCAGCCAGGAGCATCTGCCGCCGGGAAGGACGAACTGCCCTCAATATACTACTGGGCAATGCAGTCTGCTCCCCCCCTGCCCCAGCAGCTCTGCGCTGCCCGCAGTGGGCACAGCAAATATCCCGAAGGCAGAGCATGCGCAAGCTCAGCCTGGTCCTTGCAAGCTCCTGGAGGTGTCAGTCATGCAGGACAAGCTCCTCTAACGCTGGGACGGAGAGGCAGGTTTTAGGAAAACACACTTCTGAGAGCCCTCCCCACCCTGGGCTGCTGCTGATCGATGCCCGGATCGCTGCAGCCACCAGCCCAGGCAAGCATTTTATTTTTGTTAAGCCTTTTGCAAAGCTTATTTATTTTTTTATTATTTATTTGATTATTGTTAATTAAAAAAAAAAAAAATAATTACAAAGGACTTATTGCAAAATCCTCATCCTCATTCCTTCAAACAGGAATATGGATCTCAGCTCATCTGCCTCACCCCACTGTTATTTCTGGCCTTTGATGAGGCGCTGCCTGGTTTTCTCTCCTTCCCTCTGAAGGAACTTGTCTGTAGGAGCATGGCTGGTCCAAAGGGGCTCCTCCAAACACAAGCCTGTCATCCCTTCTCCTCCGGTGATGGGCAGGAGCCGCGGGAGCAGCATCAGACCGGAGCCTGCCGGGGTCTGCAAGGCGGAAGCGCTCGTTTCCTGTGAGCACAGCGCGCTTCCACGCGCTCAAATACAGGCCAAGCAGAAAAAATGTATAAAAATAATAAAAACCAAACCCAGAACTGATCCCCAAGACCACTGGGTCACTCTGAACCTTTTTTCCCAACCCTCAATCCCAGGCTGTGCAGACCAGCGTTACTCACAGAGCTGCTAAAGAGCAAACACGCCGTAGCTGACACGCGCGGTAGCACCACGCTCCTCCCCGGCACCAGGCACACGCGGATTCAGGCTCTTGCACAGCTGGCAACACGCTGCCGCGCTGCTCCCTGCAAAGCCGACTGGCCCGGTGTGCCTGAGGTCTCGCCACAGATCCCGAATTAGCCCCGTTCCAAAACGGCAAGGCCAGAAGTGGAAAAAATCCCTACATACCACTAGAAAGAAAAAAAAAAAAAAAAAGACTAAATCACGTGGAAAATATGCTGCCACCGGCAGCAGCGCTGGGTTATGCAACAGTTTTAACTCCTGCAGGCACCGCTTGCACACATGGGAGAGAGCCCGAAGCGCGCTGGCCCCGCGGGACAGGACGGCAGCCTGGGACATTGGTGCAGATAAGGTCCAGCAGAAATTAAGAAATTAAACAACTGGAGCAGAAAGCCATCCTCCGCTTGCGATAAAGGCCAGGAGCACCTCCAGCACCTCCTGGCTGCTGCTCATCTGTCAAGCTCTGCTAACGAGCAGCCAGCAGCGTGCAGAAGAGGCTGACCCCCTCCCTGGGCAGGGGGACGTGCAGGCCAACCTGTCCCCGGCACAGGGAACAGATGCTACGTGCTGCCTCACCACGTTGCCTTCAGTGTGAGAAGGAGGGCTCGGCAATCCCCAGTCCCCAGCAAGACAAAAGCCACAGGAAGCACGGGGCGATGGCAGGCAGCGGTTTGTCACTGTGGAGCACGCAGGCGCGCTGCCACCCGGGATGAGCTCGAGCAGCACAGCCGGCAGCACGGCCCACGCTGCTTCGGCTCGCCTGCGGGGAAAAAGTGATTTAAAGGACATTTTCTTCTAGCACCTAGCTCCTGTTTGGGAAAAAAATAAAATAAAAATTAATATACTGCAACTAGGAGTGGCTGCAGGACAGCAGGGGTGCAAAGACACAAATGCCCCAGCGGCACCAGCAGACTCCCAAGGGAAATGCTGCAACCCAGACCTTCACTTTTCTTTTTAGCTTCCCAGCACTGAGCTGGTCTTTTCTTAGCAAGGTCTCCAGCACCCCGCTTGGCTCCAAGGGGTTTGTGCCAGCAAAGGCAGGATGCAGCCGAGCCACAGGACCACTCCACAGCACAGGCACACGGGGATGCTGTGCTGGGTGGCAGGGAGCACTCCCGGCAGACGCTTGTCTGAAATAGAAAGATCCTAGAAATAAATTGGAGCAGAAGCGGTGGCTGCCCGGGACGTGCCACAGGCAGATCCTGTACTTGTTTGACCCATTGTGCTCTCTGCGGGGACGGCGCCAAACCTGCGGCGCTCTCGGTGCCAGCGTCGCCGAGCCGACCCTTCCAGAGCGCTGCAAGGAGGGATGGATTAATAAACAGTACAGTTTATTAATGTACTGTTCTGACAGTACACCCAGTACTGTCAGAAATTCCTGATTGCCACCGAGCCCCTGGCAAGAGCAGGATCAGACCTCACGCACCACTGCTTCACCAGTGCCACCGTAACACGGCTGTTTGTCCCTCCCGTGGGGAGGGAGGCTGGGGAAACGCGCGGGCTGCTCGCTTTGCTGATGCGGGGAGAAAGCCCAGAGCCTGCAGCTCCCTCCAGCTCATGTGTTCCTGGATAAACATGAAGCACACGGGAACATGTGCTTGTGCCATATTTAGACCCTCTCTGTCAGGGAAACCCCCTCCCACATATTTAGACCCCCTCTGCCAGGGAAACCCCCTCCACGTGGGCACGGGAGATGTCGAGACGGTCAGGGCAGCGCTGCACCGAGCAGGAACAGATCCACCACGGCTCCAGCCCGGGCGCCAGGCTGACTCAGGACAGCTGCTCCAAAGTTGATTTTGCCAAAGACTCTGGGCTGTTGCGCTGTAATTGATGCACGTCAGACACGAGCCAAACCCAACATCTGCGAAGCAGCAGATGAAAGGCACCCCGCAGGGAGAGGAGCCCCAGGGAGCCCCCCGGGGAGCCCCCCGCTCCTGCAGCCAGCTGGATGCCGTGCGCGGGCGGCCGTGGGATGGGCTTTGCGAAACGCTGCTTGCGAGGGGCTGCCAGCAAACGGAGGGCTTAGAAATGCTGCACCGATGCCACGCGGCTGCAACAACCTGGGTCGGCTGCAGGCAGGGGATGCAAACGCAGGCCGTGGGCTCGCCCGAAACCCCGAACCCCAGGGCTGGCGCTCCTCATTGAGGATTTGGGAAAGGGATCTGTAGGAGACTGGTGTTTCCATTGCAGATACACGAGGGTTAAATAACCCTTGCAGAGGCTGAACCAGGAACGTCTCGTATACCCCAGCTCCCGGCTAGACCCAGCAGCTCTATGCTCTGCTCCAGCGATGCACGGGGAGTGGGATGCTGGTGATCTGGGAGGGCAGAGCTGATCCTGGAGCAGGGCTGATCATGGACCTGGTGCTCAGCGGCTGCATGGAGCCAGCAGAGAGAGGCCAGGAGGCTGCACCTCTGCCACTGCTGCCCACTGCCAGATTCAAACCATTCGCACGCTATATGGATGCACACGCCACCAACAGAGAAATGCTAACGCTTGCTGGGTAAGTCAAAGAAACATTCCTCGGATGCAGGGAGCACCAAGCATTTGCCACCTTTTGGTGATTTTTCAGCTGGTTCTGCAGAGCTACAAGCACCCAGAAGACCAGGACGCTGCGGTGGGGGTAACTCCCCTTCCCTCCACACAGCGGAGACTGGAAACACCACAGGCTTCCAGATTTGTTGGATGGGTTCACAGATGGGCGAACACGGAGAGAAGATTCACAGCAGCGAACAGCAGTATATGAGGGCGTGAAAACACAACCGCTTCCCAGGCAGCTGAGCATCCACAGATGTTTTCGAGGGAGCAGCGCGGACCAACTAACCTTTCAATTTTTGGGAGCAGCAATCTTTTAAAATTGTGCCTGTAGGGTGTAACAGAGACGTTTTTAGAACCAAAGAGTGAATTTATAGTTCCTGGTTAACTACAGCCAGCCGGCGGGACTGCAGCACGTACAGCCTCCGGGGCCTCTCCCCTTTGCACACCGAGGTGGTGACCACGAGCTATGGAAATGGATCCAACCCGCGGAGGAGGTGGTAAAGCCACAGCTTTCCCTTCTAGGGGGACAGGAGGAGCCAGGAAGGAGGGAGGCAGCAAAGCCGGGGCTGGATGCAAACCCAGCATGGCCCAGGCACTGCTGCTTTCTTCGGCTGCCCGGTCAGAGCCACTGCGGGATCC